TTACCTCGCTTCTGGGATAGAAGGGATACTGTGCTTCCAGAGCCGCTGCAACCTGAAAAATGACCGTCTAATTTTCAGAAAAGTTTATCTTGAAGTGAAGAAATGATGGGAGAGGCACATAGGTAGTAAAAGGGAATGTACATGCACTTAACGTAATCTCAACTTCTAGGTGCCAAATTTATCCGTCTATCCGCTTCGTCCACTTTGCCATTGGTCAGATTACTGTTTTGTTCAAAAGCGAAGTAGCTGAAGTGGATGAAGCGGCCAAGCGGATAAGTCTACGCTTGCTTTAGTGTTGACCAACACATAAGAGTATGTAATGTAAAATCGTAAAAAAATACACCTTATTTGAAAGATCCCCAAAACTTTTATACCAGCTTTATATAATTGCAGTGATTCGTTTGTAATTTGATACCTGCATCTTTCAAACCAGGTCTATGACACCTGCGGATCGTGTGGTTTTCGAAGGTGTAACATTGCCAGCGACATGAAACCTCGTAGGATTTTCACATTTGTTATGCATTTTTCAAATTCTTATAGGAGCACCACCCATTCAGAATTTTATCAATGGGTCTTATCAACGTTGCAATGACTCTAGTCCGAAATCGTAGAAGTCCAAGAATCCTGGTCATTAATGTGCACATATGACTGTTTTCAGCTGACATTACGTTCCCATTATTCATGAAAGTCTAGAACCAGGTAGGTTGGCTAATAAATAACTTTGGGCGTTTCAAAGGTTTGCAGAAATGCCATAGATAAAATGGTGTATAATTTTTCGGTACTTTTCGAGTAAATCAAGGAGAATTAGATGGGTTACTTTGTTTGATCAAAAATTATTTTTTTGATGATGAAATGGTGCAGGAAACCAAAACAGCCAGATTTTTGCTTCAAATTTCCGAAAAATCAAGCTCCAAAAGCAAAGTGAAATTAAGTGTAACGTGCACGAATGGTACGCACACATACGATTCTAATATTTGCAACCATTCGCTTGGCCATGGATAGTCAAATTCAAGTGTCATGAATTGCCTCAAAAGTGAATTTCAATTTTATACCTGGAAATTCTCACATTTGCTGCAGAAATACATAACATATAGGTAATTGAATACGTATAATCTTTGGCTATATGATGACAATCTGTGTTGTGGTCTATCATGTAGCCAAAGATTATATGTACTCAATCACCAAATTACTCATCTGTGCACTTACTAGAAGCTGAAAACGAAACTCGGAAACTCAAAAAAAGTGATTTTTTGGAAGGCTGCCATATAAGGTCATAACCGTCTTTGGTCAGTTTGACTTTCATGTGATGAGTATTTACAGGTAGTGGAAGCTTGAAGTTATACGCTTACAAAAATTTAGTCAAATAACAGTTACTTGAATTTTTATTGAGTTTCAAATTGCATGTCAAAATGAAATTATTTGTTAACCAACATATTATTTACATGGTGAGTTTGGATTCTGATTCGATCGTCAGTTTGCGACTAACAGTTTTCTATGCTTTTGCGGCCGAACCTAATGCGGTCGCCCGCTTGATACATACGACGTCGCCTAGCCTACCCGTGCTCCTAGCGCGTAAAACAACAATGTTAAACTACTTATAGTTTATCTTTATGACACAAGGATAGACAAATATACACTATACTAAAATTACTACTAACTACTGAACGAAATAAGACCCTAACATGGGACAGGGTGCCCCATCCCGTGCTACCGACGGCGTGTCTACTAAAACCTTCACCAATACAAATCCGCCGCGCGTCGCCGAATACCAGGCGCGACGCCTCTCCGCTCCCACGGTTTGCAAGATCTATTCTAAATCCCAGAAGCTCAGGATGTGGCTCGTCCGAAAGTTATCCGAAATCCAACTTGAATTCAACACGTTACTGCAGAAGTGATAAATGCGGGAGCTGAATACCAAACACGAGCACGATAGCAGATATGAGAAAACAATATCGATTGAAGACGAAAGCGAACAG